AGACAGTTGTTTACAGTAAAATATTTTATTCTGAAATCAGTCGGCAGTAGAAACATCGCCCTCTGATTGGTCAGCCCCAAAGCATAAAATGATGTCATCAAAAATATCTGTTTTACATTCAGTCAGATTTAGAGTACAAATATAAAAGTCTGCTCAATAAAAATAGAAACGTACAAATAGGACTCTTTAATTAACACTTAATGCCTCGTTAGTGCTTTAACGTAAACACATTCAGTCCCTTTGAACCTGATTAGTGCGCAGTATTGATCCTGAACAATAAGATTGGCTGATTTTTCCTGAACGCATCACAAATATAATCTTCATTAACAATTGAGCCAGGTGTAGATCTAATAGCCCTTTACTGTAGCAGTCAGCGAACGCCTCACGAACTGCTGACAGTTATTGATTATTGATTAACTTATGTAAAACTACACACAACACAAACTGCTGCACGTCAGACAATCCGACAGAACACGTGAACCGATCAGATGTCAGGTAGGAGGAGGAAGGGGGGCGGGGCTTAAAGGAGCCCAATGATGAGTTTTTGTTGTATTTTAAGCTAAAAGTGTTGGAGTGTCCCTGAACACATCGTGGAGGTAAACACAGGACAGGTGGCTCTGAAGGCCAGCTGAGGAAGACCAGAGGTTTGGATGAAAACCAGCAGCAGGTACAAACAATCAGCACCTGACTGGTCCTCTCTGTTGGCGGGGTCATGATGACAGTGAAACACCTGAAGCAGAAATGTGATTGGACGGCTGCGCAGGTCCTGAAGGGGTCAGAAGGTCGAAACTCCTCCTGCTCAGTGACCCATGATGTGGTTAATGTGACCCTGAAACAAAAGACAAACACGCCTGAGACGGCTGACAGCCAATCACAGAGCAGCATGTAGAGTCACATGATGCAGGTGTGCGTCTCACCGGTTCTCCTCCGAGGCAGCGGGGGCAGCAGAGCACAGCGGGCCTGGGTCCGACCGCACCCACCTGCAGCAGCACACACAGGTTACCATGGCAACAGCAGCATCCCATCATATCCACAGGTGTGTGACGTACAGTGAAGGTGTGACACAGTTGAGATACAACACTCAGAGGTTAGCTGTGCCTCTTAGCCAGCGGCTAACGCTAGCTGGAGCACAGTCACATCAACTCTGTTCTGAATGACAGACACAAGACGCACCCTCATCTCCACCAATCAGCACGTTAGCTGCATTCACAGAGCTAATGCTAAGCTAACAGCAAGCTGCTAAGTTAGCATGCAGCCACAGATTAGCCTGAAACTCAGTCTGGAAACAACCAATAAAGCTGAACCACCTGCTTCTCTGAGCGCCACATGGACTAAACCTGACACCAACACAAGCAACTGTGGTAACTACAGGTAACTACAGGTAACTACCTGTAATTACAGGTAATTACAGGCAACTACAGGT